GTTTGCATGTGTAATGTGGTTTTGTTACTCTTCCTACACCATATGAAAAGCTTTAATTTTCATAAATGTGCAAGACTTTAAACCTTTTAGTTTTCATCACAAGCTTGGAAAAATGGTAGTTCAGTATGAATATAGAGATATAGAGAAATATAGAGAATATAGAGAAATTCAGATCCAATTTCTTTCTTGACCAGACCCAGACCCCTGTTCTCTGTCTGAAGCGATCTTGGTCGTTGCAAGACATCTGAATATGGCTATATGCGTGCAAGTGGGGTAGCTCGTTTGTAATCTGGGACAAGAGGAGGAAGCTAGAGGCTTTTCAACTAATATAATGCTACAAAAATTGGGCTGTGCAATTTTACTACATGAGCTCGCTGGGCTGGTTGGCTGGAGCTGCCCCGCCAGTGCCAAGGGCTGTGCTCAAAGCAACCGCTCTCGCTGTTGTGCCGCTAAGCTGCAGAGGTCCAGGCACAGCGTGGGCGCATCACCTTCACCCTCAGAGCAGGTGAGCACGGGGAGCCTGGGAGCACACAGGGCAGAGCAGCGTGCCGGGGAGTCTCGCCTTGTTCCCACTTGGGTGTCTGCTGGGAAAACCGTCCTGTGAGCAGCAGTGCGGTCAGCGCTGGCATCATAAAGACTCTTGACTTAAGGACTGCTTAGGAGAGCAAACGCTCTGCCTCCTAACATAACACAAGTAAATATGCCAGGGACATCCACATCTGCATGTTTAATTTTTACAGATGCCATTTGGTATCATTAGTTACCGTGCTGCTGTCCCTAACTCGTCTCTGTAAGGGCTGCATGAAGCATCTGCTCCTTCACTCAGAGGAGCCCAGTACAAGCTGACGGTAACTTTACTGACACTGCAAGGACTACACGGATGCCAAAGGACTGTGAAGAGGTAACTGAGCCCACAGGACTGAGATATCCTGGGGAGGAATCACCACACACTCGGAAGGCCGACGGGAAGTGTCGGAGAGGCGCAGAATGGGAGCACAGCCTGCAGCACAGCAGCTGGCAGGTATCTGGCCCACTTTGTGCCTCTGCTTGTGTCATGTGGTTTTATTGCCCTTCCTACACCAAAGGCAAAGCATTTTATGTTTTTTATAAATGACTTTAAATCATTTGAGTGACTCACTTATCTCTGCTATAGCACAAGACTCGTTGGAAATGAAGTATGATGGCTCAAGAGCAGTCTCACTTAATGTTGGGAGGGGGTTCCCTTTTTTGTTACAAAAGGTAAAGCTATTGGAAAAAGAAATTACTGTCGTGCATCGTACTGCAATGAAGAAAAGACAGAAAAGGGTGCCTGTGGTGTCAGTGTATTACAAGAAATGCATGAAATACGCAGTATTTTCTAAAAGAGATATCCATGTTGTGTAGGTAAGAGCTGTGATGCAGCACAAAGAGGAGTAGCATCTTCTCCTTTGTGATCTTACATAGTGGATCTTGAGTGTTCTTAACGTTAATGCCACCCAGTACAGGAAGCTGGATCCTGGCAGGAGGCGCGCTCTCTCCTTCACTTACAGATACTCTGCTCGCCTCTTCCATCAGCCTGCTTTATCTCCTACCTGGACTTCCCCTGTTAGTGCTTTTTATCCTGCAGATAGGAGTGACCTGGGGGAAGAGTGAGGCAGCGCTCCCGTTCATAGGCACTGTAGCCAGTGGCCTCTTTGTAGGGTTTCATGCAGGGTGTCTCTCTCGTTTGGGCTGGGGTTACCGTTGTTGAAAGCTTCAAGGGTTTTATGCTGGGGACATCCTCAGCTCTGCCACAAAGCACCTGCTACAGCTCCCTTTTTGAGAGAGACAACACGTAGAGGCCAAACGTTAGGGATCCTCTGCCTCTAAGACAGAAATACTGAAAGTTTTAGGAAAAAACAAGGCAAATCTCATCCACAGTGATGGACTTCCTATCTGGCCATGTAGGCAGCTGTGGCTAGCATTTGGAGAGGCAAAAATTGAAGGACTCATATGCAATAACTGAATTTCACTTGTGAGCAGGTTAAGTTAAGCCTAGAAGAGCTGGACTGGGGGCAGCCCCATTTACACTCTGGAGCAAGGCTTCTTTCTTTAAGCAGATGCATGTCTAGTAGCGGGAATGCCCAATTTTGCTGGAAACTTTCTCACCCTCCTTGTGCTTCAGAAGAAAACAAATCCCTAATCCTAATTCGGCTTGACATGAAAACAATTAATTATGTAGATATTAAAATCTCTTAGCCACTGGACAGATCAAATGCTGGTTTTGCATCATCAAAACCAGCATAAAGAAAAACTATCGACCTTGGTTTTAGTTTGGGAAGAAGGCAGAGCTTTAGTCCTACAATTGTGAAAAGTTTCTTGCATGTTAATTAACCTGAGCCTGGTTAGAAAGAAGAGTACAGGGACCAGTGTTCTTCACGTGCCACAATGTAAGGAGCTGTTAAAAGAGGAGAAGAAGTTCAAAGTGAGTTTTGAACTTACTTCATAAAGGGAGGCATGAGAGCAACGGGCTATTTAGCTGCACAAGCAGAGGCATTTGCCTTATTTTTAGCCAGGATGAGCAGTGGGCCTGGGATAGGAAAAAGCAAATAGAGGACAAGATCCGAGCCAATGGGGGAGACTGACCCCCAAGAAAAGGTTGTCTGAAGTCTTTTCTCCTGTTCTCCAATCTCAGCAACTTTCTTGGGCCTGTTAGTTGTGGGTATTTAGGCATTTTCGCAGCCCTCTACATTCTGCAGTGGGAAGCAATTAGCCTCGTTTCACTTCTAATTTAAGAACAAAATAATGAGAGAAGTGGTGCATACGTTCCAGTCAGCAAGATCTCAAAGTGGGGTTGCTTTACATGCTAGAAATTATGTTGTGCTGCATCTCCAGCATTTTCTGATCTTTTTTTCCCCCTCTTTTAAAAACTTGGGGCTACCTGTCAGTGCATCAGTTAATGAAGTTTGCAGATCCCTAATGTTGGAGTTCTGACAATGTGCATCATTGGAGGACCTTGCTTGCTTTCTTATTGCTTTGATGCTAAACATTGGAATATCCTTTTTTTTCTTCTTTTTTGATCTGAAGCCTATTACAGGGCATATTGATGGCAAATCTTGCTTTTGAAATTCTAAGCAACTCTCTGCCCTCACACAAGATGTTGGGCATCTGCAATTCCTGTTGCCTTTAGGAGAAAATGAGTATCTGCTACCAACCAGACACTCGTACACATAAGGGATGAGAGCATGGGAGTGCTAATTAAAAAGATAAAAGAAAAAAAAACTACCTTTTAAAAATTAATGAGCCCACAAACACTTTGCAGTGCTTTAATGATGATTCCATGCTGGCTGTGTAATGGTACAGTGGGACAGAATTCAAATTGCTGGAAGCACAGATGAATCAGGCATAATGTTTTTCATGTTTTCAACAAGCTTGGACTCCGTATGAATTTAAACATAACATTATCTTTGTCTGAGCTCCTAGGGCTCACTTTTAGCATAATTAGGACATGTGTGACGTTTAGCAGCATCCCCGCAACCCTTATTGATCCTAACGACCTGGTTTTATCTGGGCATAAGTGGTGCTAGTTATCAGAACTCATCACTTACTGTTTCCAAGTCTCCTCCTTGCAGATAGGAAGACTCTCTCTTCTCCCGTCTCTGCAAAAGCAAAGCCATTAGATTCAATTGAATTGTTTGCATGACCAGCCCCGAGCTGCATCATAAGAGGGTACCTCTTTGCAGTGCGTGAATGCCGTTGTCTCTGTCTACAGAGAGTAATTGAGTTTGGCTTATGACCCACACAAATTGTGTTATTTCATTATTTTTTTAAACCCACTAATTCCAGTAAAATTACCTCTTTGAATGCAGCAGTAATATTTCTTATCTGCTAACCTTAAAGAATAGCATGCATGCCCTGTGAATCAGCTCAAGTTCAGCTTGGCTGTTT